CCCGCCGGCTCCCATTGAGCCCCGGGCCCGCCCGCTGATGTCATCCCGGGCCCGTCGCCGCCGCCCTGGAGGATTTAAAGGGCCCGCGCCCTCCGCTCCCGGGGACGCTGGGGGGCCCCGCAGCCAGGAAACACGGCCCCCCAGCCTCGCGAGGAGCACCTTGCAGGAACGGGGCCTTACGTGTGGGGCCGAGGAGCGCACACAGACACTGACACCCTGATCCAGTGGGGGCACAAGTGGAAAAACCTGGGAGGGGGTGGGGAGGAGGAGGGCGCACAAAAAGCTGGGTTCCTCTAGACCCAAACACTCCTCTCCCCTCTGCCCGGTTCTCTCTCCTCTCACACCCTAGTAGTGGGCCCCTCTGAAGGCCGGTGTTTGCAAAAGGAGAATGTTTACAGCGTTGGGGGACACTCCGCCTCGGGGCTATGAGTGCTGCAGAAAACACAGGCCAGGTTGACTCAGGGGCCAGCGATTTGACCGGACAGCAAGAGACGGAGGGATATTGACAAACGGCCCAGAGAGGTAGCTGGGGCTATGCTGCACTCTGCCCCCACGGAAAAAACAAATGCAAAGACCTTTTTCTTCACCCTTCTTCCTCTTCGGGCAGCTCAAACTGATGGATACAGAGCTGACCTCAATCCCAATCCTGTCCTCACTCGTTTAATGAGGGACCCCACACACTGCCATGGAGCCGACACTTGAGCCAGAGTCCCCCAAGTGGTGCACATTTAGCCAAGTCCCCGCCCAGCTCTGGGCTGGGGTTTCCTTATCTGCAAATCGGGAGGGAGCACCCGTCCCGCCCCAGGTCACCGAGAATTAATTAAGGCTTCCTACTGGCTTCCAGAGCAGGCGATGAAAGATTCCAGGGCAGAGTTATTAAAATGATATTTACACTGTACCATGCAAAGCTCCAAATTATGACACATCCATTCACGCACACAACTGTGGCTGTGGACACACAAAATGCTGGAGTGCACTGCAGCCCGTCCCAGAAGCAAGGTTCCTGGGAAGAGTCACTTCAAGAACAATCACACCTTCCTTCGAGCCTGAGGGACTTTAGTCACACACACTCTCCAAACTGTCAGGAGCCCCACAGACTGGTTTCTTCTTTCAGAGCCCAGGAAACTGCAGCCCAGAGACGGGAAGGGGTTGGCCTGGGACCACACAGCACAAGATGGCTCTGTTCTCTCATAGGTCCCTGGGAAAATGAGTCTATCATGATCTCACCTCCAAGAGCAGGAGAGTGAGAACAAGCCTCCCAGGAGAGGTCTGGGGCAGTCAGCTGGGGATCTGCCCTCAAAGCCACTTTTGCCAGAGAAGAGGGTCACCAGCAACTGGTGGGCTTTGTTTGGCTTGCATGGTGTTTTTCGTTATTTCTTTGGTTCTGTTAACTGATTCCCAGTGTTTTAAAATGGGAAGATTTCATATGACAGGTCTGTATTCCCTACTTCTCTCGAAGCACTAGGAGAACTGCCACTCTGGGCCCAAACGCACCCTGGGCCCTGACCATACTCAGCAGGCCTGGGCGGCAGCCACCCACATTTATCAAAGCCCAAGGGCCCCCACTTGTTTCCTCACATCAGCTTGTTTTACCCATTTTTATGACTCCCTCATCTCCTGGAAGTCCCTAAGTGTGACCTGTCCTAGAGGCCAGCCACCAGGCTCGGCTACCAATGCCCTTCCCTTCGTCATCTGTTTCCATCCCAATCTCACCGACCCTGAATCCTGCTTCCAGTGTCCAGGGAAGCCGGCCCTCCCTGTGGCTGCAGGTTCTCCTACGTGAGACAAGGTGCCAGGCCTAGGGCCCCAGACAGAGGGCCCCCCAGCACTACGGAGCAGGGTGGCCACACCACCCTGTGTCCTCTGTCTTCACCACCCCAACCTTCCAACCTGGCCCTGCTTCCCGGCCCTCCCTCTCCAGGAAGGGACTGATACTCCTCCAGCAACTACTAAGTACCTGGCACTGGGAAAGGTGTTATCTCATGTAATCCTCTCAACAACAGATGAAATCCTACTCTGTCCTTTCCCAGGTTCAGAGAGGAATCTGAGGCTCCTCACCTTTGCCTCAGGGTACACATTAACAGTCAGATGTCCCAGCTTCCCCTCCCAATCTTGTCACATGTCCCCTCCCATTCCAGAACTTGTAACTGACCCCCCTCTGCACCACTATTGAAGATCCTGGTCAACCAGTCTTGAGACCCACTCTTCCCCTGAAGGCCTGCCCCCAGCCTCTCCGCACACACACACCCCATCCCATCGCCCCCCAGTCTCTGCCTTGGAAGAATGCTCCCCACACGCCCCCCCGATTAGCTGTTCTGTGGACCCAAGTTCTCCTCTTCCCTACTCCCCTCTGAGACCACCCATGGGTCCTTCCGAAGCACTTTGCTGCTCATCTCTCAGGAGAAACTGAGGGGACACAAAACCTAGCCAAGGAGGGGAGGCGATTCCAAAGGGAAAGAAAACTTAACGACAGAGTTCTAGCAGCCTCTGGGCCTGACTTCTCTCTCCAGACTGGATTCTCAATGACTCCTCCTGGGACTTAACTCCCAACTCTAAAGCCCAAGGGTGTGTCTGGCTGGAGTTCCCCTAGCCCCCTTCCGTACATCCCACCCACCCACCCAGAAGATGCAGTTGGGCCTGGGACAATAGGTGTCAGTGAAGAGCTGATCACTGGGTCCCACCCTGGGTTTTAGCAGCTCTGCACTGGTCAGGGGAAACGTTCCAGACGGTTTGTTCCTATTTCCCCGGCACCCCAGAGCACAGGGCTGGGGATCTTGCGGTGCCCAGCGATGGCGAGAAAGATTTCAGCACCACCCCCGAGGGACCTGCAACCTGAGTCTTGGGGGTGGGATGCGGGGAGGAGGAGGTCACCAAGGATTTACCACGCAGCAGGGGAGGGTCCTTAAAATGACCCTACACAATCTGTGCCCTGAGGCTGTTCTGCAGGCCTGGCTCTCCCGCTGCCTGGGGCACTTTTCTCTCAGCTGTGTACCTCACCTCCCTCAGGTCAGGACTCTCAAGTCCCGTTCACAGGGAGGCCTTCCAATCATGATTTAAGATCTGCCTCTCCTTCTCTGCTTCATTTTGTTTCCTGGCACTTAACCACTACCTAACCTATTCTATATGGTACTTATTTGACTTTTTTTTTTTCTTGGTCTGCTTCCCCCACCGGAATATCAGTTGCACGAAGGTAGGGAGTTAAAGATCTTTGGGGGCATCACTGCGTCACCAGTATCGAGACTGGTGTCTGGCACACTGGAGGGATTTAACAAATATTTGCTGAATGAGTGAATGGTTGGATTGTAAAGGGACAGCCTCCACTCTCTCTGAAGACACATGAAGAGAGCTATCACTTATTGAGCACCTACTGTGTGCCAGGCCCTCTATGAGACCCGATACCTGCATTTGATCCTCACATCTATCCTCAGCAGAGATAGTGGCCTGGCAGAGCCCACTCTCTTAACCACCTCGCCCAGGCTGGTGGAGAACACAGCTCCGGGACAGGGCCCTGGCTCCCTCCATCGGACCCCTGAGCTCCTTTACTAGAGAAGCAACTCTGGGCCCCAGCTGAGAGCCACTGCTTTTCGACGCTTCTCCTGGGTGACCTCACCACATCGTCATGACTAGTCAGGTCATTCCCGGCAGTGATTCCTCCCTTCTCTGCCATCTTCAGCTGAGAGGCAGCAGGGCGGGCTAGCAACAGGCCTGGACCAGGGCCCAGGAGGCCTGGGTTCGAGTGCCAGCTCGGCCACTGAATTTCAGGGGGACCTTGGAGAATTCACAACCCCTCTCGAGGAGGCTGGACAAGGAGACTTCTAAGGCTCTTTCTTCAGTCTCCCTGTCTGTAAACTTAAGGCTGGACCAGATGGGGGACGGCCTACACGCTCCACATCCGGCACTCTGTTGAGAGAGATCCTGAGGTCCCACACATCTGGGCTCAGTGGAAAGGGTTCTCTTCCCACCATCACCCGCATATTCAAAACACGTGCACTTCCTGTCAGCTCTGTCTCCCAACTACATGCTGAACCCAGCTTGGATTACTTGGATACCACACTGGTCTGTTAATGGTGAGATCATGTCCCTCTGCTACTGAAAATACACTAATGGCTCCTTCTGTCGGCATGAAATCCATGCTCTCTTCCAGGTCTGCTATGATCTGGCCCCAATCTGCCTTTCAGATCTCACCTTGAACCTTTCTCCCCCTGGTCTTTTGTTTTGTCACATCTCAGGGCCTTTGCAATGGCCATTCCTTCTGCCTAGAATGATCTCCGCAGGTCGTCAACGGCTGCCTCCATCTCATGATTCAAACTGCAACTCAGAAGTTACCTCCTCACGGGGTCTTCCTTGACCTTCCCTCTTTGCTGGATCACCCTGACTTATTGTCTTTATGGAACTTACTAGAGGCTGAAAACATTAGCTTGTTTATTTTTAATGCCCATGAACATAAGCTCCAAGAGAAAGAATGCCCATGAACATAAGCTCCAAGAGAAAGAAACCCTCCTATAGCTGCTCCGTGGGTGCTCAGTTGGTAATACTTGGTAATACATAAATACTTGTGAGCGAACTCTGCCACGAACTCTGCCACGGGTATGTGGTCCCTGGGGTGGAGGCAGGGCCTGGCACTTCCCATCCCTGGGTCAGATGTTGCCTGACAGCCTTCCCTCAGGGACAGGCCTGTGGTTTCTCCCCACCCCCTCCCAGCCTTCTTGGCCTTCTTGTGGTGGGCTGTCGGCCCGCCCCCTCGGTTGCACACAGCCTCTCTCAGCAATCCCTGGGCTGCTGTCTTCTTAAGGGAAATCAGCTCCCAGTGGAGTTAGGAATGCCTGCCACGTGTCCAAAGGCACAGTGAACACTAACAATAACCCAGCATCACCGAAG